CACATGGGATCCTGTGTCCTCACCCCACATGGGATCCTCTGTCCTCACCCCACATGGGATCCTGTGTCCTCACCCCACATGGGATCCTGTGTTCTCACCGGACATGGGATCCTGTGTTCTCACCGGACATGGGATCCTGTGTTCTCACCGGACATGGGATCCTGTGTCCTCACCCCACATGGGATCCTGTGTTCTCACCCCACATGGGATCCTGTGTTCTCACCGGACATGGGATCCTGTGTTCTCACCTGACATGGGATCCTGTGTCCTCGCCCCACATGGGATCCTGTGTCCTCGCCCCACATGGGATCCTCTGTCCTCACTCATGGGATCCTGTGTCCCCCAACCCTTCTGTGATCTATGTCCTCACTCTACATGAGATCCTGTATCTTCAACCCCACATGTGAGCCTGTGTCCTCCCCTCTCCACATGGGGTTCTATATCCCCACCCCCAGATGGAATCCTGTGTCCCCACCTCCCTGTGATCCCGTGTCCTCACTCCACATGTGAGCTGTGTACCCTCTCAATGCAGCATGGGGTCCTGAGGAACTGCTCAGCTGAGACCACATGTCCTCAACTCAGTTATGAGTTCATCTGAGGTCACATCACCCTTTGTGAAACTGGGGTCCACACTTGAGGACCCTCTCTCAGGTGTCCTAGGAGCAGGACTTGTGGACCTCTGCTCATGTCTCAGTAAATGTGGGATGGGTGTTGGAAAGTAAGGGGTGAAGGAGGGTGCAGGCCCTGGCACCTGGCCTCTGGTGGTCTGGGCTGGGACTCAGCCGGCGTCCTGGGCCTGGGTGGTGCATGGAATGAGCTCACCCATCCCAGCCACATCCCCGCCCTGGCACCACACCCCCAAGACCGGTCGGGCCTCTCTGACTTGCTCATCTCTCAGGGGCTCTCAGACTTCCCTCCAGGTCCCACTGCTCAGGCTGGTACAGGAAAACCAGCCCCCTACAGAGGGGCCCGCAACACTGCCCACTGGGGCCCCCTGCACAGGCTGGTACAGGAAAGCCAGTCCCCCCACAGAGGGCCCCTCAACACTACCCTCCAGGACCCACTGCTCATCCACGTACAGGGGAAACCAGCCTCTTACAGAGGGCTCCTAGGGCCAATGCAAGGCCAGACCCTCCTCCGGATGTTACCTAAATGGGTGGACCGTACAATCTGTGTGTGAGGAGCCCTTGTGGTGTGGACCCACTGACAGTGGGCATCATTCTGCCCCCTGACAGCCCAGGGCCTTTGCACACATTCCCCTGGCCTCCAGAGAATCTTCTCTGCCCCGGCCCCCTGCCTCCAGCCCTGGTCACATGGTTCTGCCCAGGTTCCCATCCCAGACCACCTCTCGACAGCAAAGCTTGGGCTTGGCTGACTCAGTTTCCCCAGACTTAGCCCTGGGTGGTGTCTGGGACACTGAATGGGCATCTGATGAGAGCTAGCCACCTTGGAAAGAATTGTGGGAAGTAAGGGGTGAAGGAGGGTGCAGACCCTGTCTCCTGGCCTCTGGTGGTCTGGGCTGGCCAGGTCATCCTCTGGGGTCTACAGGATGCATCACGTCATTGAGAGGGAAAGGGGCTGCTTAGGGGGGTAGTGAGACCTTGGTGGAGGGGGTGAACCATGGGGTCCCAGATGGACCGTGAGATCTCTGGCAGGCCATGGGGTGTGGAGGGGCCGTGCGATCCCAGACAGGCCATGGAGTCCTGGGCAGGATATGGCATCCCAGGTGGGCCCTGGGGTCCTGGTCAGGATATTGGGTCCCAGGCAGGCTGTGGGGTCCTGAGGAGGCAGGTGTGTAGCTCATCTTTTTCATGCAGGCATCCTGAGGTCATCAAACTGCTGCGGGCAGCCGGGGCTTGTCTGTCCGTCCAGGAGTTGGAGGACGTGGGGACAGAGTTGTGCAGGTGAGGGCTCACAGCACACCTGGGGACAGGGACTTGGGACACAGGCTGGAGGAAGGCTGGGCCCACAGGGGTGAGAGTTTAGGAGCTGGAGACCCCCCTCTCTGCACACAGCTCCGCCCAGACCTGGGATGTGAACTTGTCCCACTTAGTGACACCTGGGGAAACTGATCCCGGAATGTCCCAGGCCCTCCGGGCTGAGCTTGGGACAAGGAGAGAGTTTCTAAGGGGCTTCGGAACCGGAGGGACGATGAGGTTTGGGAGAAGCAGGCCTCGCTGGGTTACCTAGCCCTGCTGGGGGCCGCTGCTCCTCCCAGGATCCCTCCACACTCCCTGCCGTGTGGTGCCAGGGTAGGGGCGGGGGGGGAGAGGAGGGGACGCCTTGTGCCACCCCCTTACTCCCCAAGGTTAGGGTGGTGGATAGGAGATCCTGCGGCCCCCACCTCCCCACCAGGGTCAGGTTGGAGGAGGGGAGTCCACGGTTCGGGTGGAGGAGAGGAAGCCCTGTGCCTCCCCCCTCACTCACCACGGCAGGGGGGGGGCCCTCTCCCAGCCAGGACCACCTGTGCACTACCCCTCTTGGAGCTGTCCTTCCAGGTTGTGGAATGAACTGGGGCGGGACTCCCGGCAGGTGGGCGTGTGTGCACCGCCTATGTGTACATCAGTGTACACTCACATGTGTGGGGGGCCCGACTTAAGTCACCGGCACACCCACTGGGTGAAACCAGACTCCACGTCGCCTGCTGGCCAGAGACTCCCGCCCCAGGGCCGGCTGCTGCTGGGTCAGCCGTTTGGGCTGGTGGAGGTGTTGGGCGGGGGCTGGCCGTCCACAGGTCCTGACAGTTCTCTCCCCCAGGCTGGCCTCCCGGGGGGACGCTGAGGGCTTGCAGGCGTGGTGGCATGCAGGGGCAGACCTGAGGCAGCCGGGCTACGATGGGCGTCACGCCCTGCACGTTGTGAGTGTTCCAGTGCCTGTCCCCTGCCACCTCCTCCAGGAAGTCCCCCTGGCAGTCCCTCACCCCGCCTCTGCCCAGCCCCAGTGCCCAAACTCCTCAAGTGCTGAGTCGTTTGGGGCTCTTCCCCCATCTTGAGCCCCTGAGGACAGGGGAGCAGATGCACACTAGAGGAACAAAGCCACAGTGGGTGCCCTAGGGGTGGGCAGGGCTGGGGGGCGTGGTCTGGAGGCAGCCCTCTCTCCTGCAGGCAGAATCTACTGGAAATTTGGAGTTACTTGAGCTCCTGCGGCAGTTCCTGGCCAAGGCCAGTCCAGCCCCCCAGGCCCCATGAACCTAGCCTGGGCAGTGGCTGCCTGTGGTAGGTGCCCAGAGGAGGCTGGGAGGGGCATCAACCTGGAGTCTCAGGACAGGTTGCACCGAGCTGTGACAGAGCCGGCAGGGGGCGCTTCCCAGAGGGCCACCTCAAACCTCCAGTATCTGTCCCACAGACCTGCGGCTGTGACCATCCCAAGAAGCATTGGAGGACTCTAGTCACTGTGGAGACAGAGGGCCCCCCATGCCGTCCCCGCCTCCCCCTTCCCGCCCAGGAGCCTGTCTAGAAGGCTGAGCTGGGTGGGCAGCAGAGCAGACCTTCCCCGACAGGGAGCAGGCTTGTCCATGAGCCCTGCCTGCGCTTCTGCTGGGCCAGTGGACAGCCCTCACAGGGCACTGGAACAACGCTGGGGGGCCCCCCGGGCAGGTGCCAATACAGTAGGCTGCCTCCCAGCCCTGGCTCCAGTGGTCTGTTTAGCTGGGATCGTGGGCCTGTACGAGGAGAGTCTGTGGGGAGCAGCCTCAGGCTCTGGGGCGCAGGGTGGCGTCCGCGTGGGTGAGCACACCTGGCCAATTGAAGGCAGAGGGTGGTTCAGAGTATGGGGTGACTGTCGGCCATCTCGTGCTTGTAGTTGAGGTCACCCCCCCCCATGAAGTCTCCCCCTCAACACACACCATGGCTTAATCCTCACTGAGTCACCCAGGAAGACCCCAGCCCAGGAGGAGTGCTGCTCTGACTGGTCTTGGGGTGACTCTGTCATTATCCTGAATCCCTTATGATGTCTGGTGTCTGTACCCATACAGTCCCTCCACATCCCCTCCCCCAACACCCGGATAGGGTGAGGGTGGAGCCTGGCAAGGTCCCAGCGAGCAGAGCAGTCACAGGACGCCCTGGGCACAGTGAGGGGAAGCGTCCATGATCCCTGCCCCCATCCGCTGAGCCGTCCGGCCCCAGCCAGTTCCTGGAGGCTGCCCTGAGCCAGGCTGGGGAGTTGGAGGGGCAGGGCCAGGCAGGGTGGGCTGGACTGGTGGGCTCCTTGGGCACCTGGTGCGGTGCTTTCCACGTCTGCACCCAGGCTGTCCTCCACCCAAACTCTGAAGGTTCTTGAATCAGAGCTTCACGCACTCTCTCCAGCGTCACCTGAGCCTGCCTGCCCTCCTGAGCACACGCCAAGCCTGTCTGCCCTGCCCCATGTGAGGGTTCCGTCTGTCTGTCCCTCTGCCCATCTGGCGCAGGGCTCAGCCTGAGACATGGGTGCAGTGGACACCGTGCAGAATTGCTGCCCCAGGAGCTCATAGTAGGGCCGCCCCCATGCTCCTGGCTCTGTTGGTGGGCTGGGCTAGGGCTTTACCCGCACCCCCGGGTTTCTCAGGCCAGTTCCCAGGCAGCTGCCTGGCTGGCAGGACGCCAGGTCCCCTCCCAGGTAGGGGCGCGTCAGCCTTGCACAACCAGATCATGCCACCTGAGGTGGAGTGCCGTGGGCCTGGGTAGCTTGTCCCTACAGCTGTGGGGGGCAGGACTAGAGGGTGCAGAACCCAGTGCCACTGGACACCTGGAGGGACAGGCACGCTCTGACAGCAGGGCTGGGTTAAAAGGTCAGAGAGAAGACAAACACCTCAGGAGGGTGGCCTGCCACCTGGTACCCCTGCCAGCAATGCCCCCATGCAGAGCCTGGAGCTGCAAGGCCCCAGCTCCTGTTCCCAAAAAAAGGCCTGCTTTTCATGGAGGTGCTAGGGACTGGACTAGAGCCCTGTCGAGGTGGCTGCTCCCAAGTGGGCCATTGACAGACAGCAGGGACCCAAGGGAGGTGTCCACACACAGGGCAGAAGTGAGGTACTTCCCATGAGGGCTGTGGCTAGACCCTCAATCTTGGGCCTCTCAGCTTGGGGAACCTCAGTTTCTCTCCATGCCAGACATTTCCCTTCTAGTCAGTACTTGTGCTGGGGACCATGTGCCCTCAGTGTAGTCGTCCAATTTGGCCGTCTGACCAACCCCAGCCCTGTGGCTCCCTGGATGTGTCCTGGGAAGGCGGGCAGGCTAAGGGCACAATCTGGGAGCCTGATTCAGGCTATGTGCCCAGAGGGCCGCCAGGGCCAGTGTGTGTGTGTGTGTGTGTGTGTGTGTGTGTGTGTGTGTGTGTGTCCAGATCTGGCCAGCAGAGGTGGCTCCTCAGCCCGCAGCGCAGTGCACCTGAACATCTCTGCCTCCTGTGGCTATGCTGCTTTTTCCATTATGGAATCTGACCCCTCAGTCTGGGCTCAGCAGAGCTCTGGTTTTCCCTTCTGGTCACCTCAGCACTTCCCACTGCAGGTGGACACCACAGAGGCTTCACATAGTCACCCCACTTGTCCCCTGTGATGTGAAGGTGACCCCCATGGTGCATCTGCCCTGGACTTAGAATTGGGGATGAGATGAGTGGGCAGGGCTGAACCAGCTTCTAAGCTCCCACCGGCCCATCAAGCCCCTTACTCCCCCCCCCCCAAGGAGCCTGGGCAGTGCAGTAGGGGTGGAGGCGAAGTTCCATATTGTGTTTCCCTCGGTTTCCCCCAACTGTGCCTTCCTGGCGGGTAGAGCGCACGTGGAAACGCTTGGCAGAACCACCACAATGTGCTTGCTGCCATGTTGGTCTTGGCTAGCTTGTCTCCCCCCATTGCTGACCAGGCCGGGTGTGGACCGTACGCACCCTGCCCATCGCTGTGCGCACCCCTGCTGCTCCCTCCCGTGCGCTTACAGCACAGGACTGGTGAGGTTGAGATGGCGCTTCCATGGCTTCCCATCGGCACCCTAACCCCCTCCCACCATGCCTCTGTGAAAACATCCTGGGCGCAGGCTCCGCAGGTCAGGCTCCAACACTTCATGACTAGGCGGGCTGGGCGCAGACTCTTGGGCCGCGCACATGGGGTTGGTCTGGTGCGGGGTGCGCGAGTGTGGTGGGCTCCGCGCGGAGTCCTGCGCTGGGGCCGAGGGGAGGTCCCGGAACCCACCAGCGGGGCGAAGCCGCCGGGGTCCTGGTTCCCGGAGGTGGGCGAGGGGTGGGTCTGCTCCCTGCCCGCGGGGCACGAGACGGGCTCTGGGAACCAGAAACCTGCCCGGCGGGTTCCCGCCCTCCCTCGGTTTCACTTTCTCTTTGTGACGCTCCCCTCCCCCTCACGGTTCCCTTTGAAGTGAGAGGGACGACCCGGGCGTGTCACCCCAACCCAGCCGCGCCTCGGGCTCACCCGCTCGCCCCGGGGCGCCCCTCGGCCGGGGTGCCGTCCCCGCACCGACTCAGGCCTGCAGCGCGAGGTCC